GGGGAGGGCTAGCCTCCCACTAGTTCGAATTAAGTGGCTACACAGCCCTTAATTCGAACTAGGCGTTAGTCCTCGTAAAATGAGGTTTACCTAGTTCGAATTAAGCGCTCTGCTAGTTCGAATTAAGTTCGAACTAGCGGAGCGCTAGTGTAGCGCCTATCAAAGTTAATTCGAACTAATGTCTGTTAGTTCGAATTAACTTTGTAGTGTAGACATACCCTTAGAGTATTTTTATAATTGTTACAAATATACATTTTAACAATGAAGAGAAAAGGAGGCTCATGTAGGAAAATGAGAGCCACACCACACTCCAGCCCAGAAAGGACAACGACAAAGAGGACCAAACATCTAAGTGACAAATTGACTCTAGATTTGAACAATTAATAATAATGTAGTAATTGCATTTATGGATTAATGCACCATAATGGCAGTTATTTATTGAGGGAGGAAGTATAAAAGGTACAAAATGTCTTCAGTCACCTAAGATTTCTGACTAGTTAGTCCCTACTAACATGTGAAACCCATTCAAAATCATTGTGGATTTCAGGCCAGATCCTGAAATTAAGATGATCAAAAAGTCCAATTGGTGCTACTATATGCTATCAACAAATGCCCATTCTCATGTTTTGATTCCTTCAGGAGAGACCCAGTAGCATGCACCCATCCTGGCCCACAATACCTGGAACATAAATGGTTCCACTCAACACTTTAAGTGGCTTTTAGTACAGTTCACCTGCAAGGGCCCTGGGGAGTGCCATCCCTGGCATTTATGGATTGAAATAATTTGTCCCTGTTGCAGTGATAGAATAGTCTTATAATAAGTTCCTTCCAAATGGTTCTTCTGGTATCTGGAATTTTGGTGGTTAGGACAGGAAGTGGGGAAGCTGCTCTTGTGATATATTGATTGTGTTAATTTCTATAATTTATTTTGTAGTGACAACTAAGCACTTCCAATAGTGAATCAATCACAACTTTTGAAAAGTAAGATTATGAATATAAGAAAATCAGTCAGTAAAGCACTGAATAAAATGGGGCTAGGGTTTCAGCTACTATACACTGACATACTTCTATTGAAGTCAATGGAGCTATGCTGATGTACATCTGCTGAGGACTTGACCACAAGATCTCTAATAGTGGGCCATGAGAAATTACCAAGAAAAGTGAATTCTAAAGATGGAGCACTCAGCTGAGAGCCCCCTGCTGTCTGTGGTGGAGCTTTTAAATTTAGGGTCTAAGAGAGAACCACTCATCCACCTGTACTGCTATGCAAAGGTGCAAAGTTGAGAATGTCTTGAATAACCATTCTAGTCTTTAAAGATCTCCATTGATATCTGAAGTGGCAAGCCAGAAGTGAAAGGAAACAAATAGAGACTTTAGCACAGGTATTATTTGTCATGCCAGCTTGCCCCTCAAAGGGGGCAAGTTCTACTTGATCTTAAGTGTCTAGGTAGACTTCAAGAATAGCCCTATAGTATAGCCTATTGCAAGGCTGAACCCTTGAAAATGATGCAAATAGTGCCTCCTCCAACTCACTTAGGCGTTTTCACTTGCCAATAAGCCTCATCCAAGCCATGTGTAACTACTTTGTCCACCTCCAGAGCCCCTTCTCTGTCACATAGTGGAGTCTGATTTCAGTGAAAAGAAGATGTAGAGGTGAGTTCTACTGGCTATGTTGATGAAATCTCAATCCAAAGCATCTCACAATCTACTCTTGTTTAATACCAAATAGTTGGGGTATGCGATCCTATAAGACTCTAATAGAGGGCTATTGGAGAAAATAAGCAATCTTACAAAGGAACAATAAATTCACTATTTTCCCGTCTCCCTCAAGATTCACTGGAAAAGTCAACATTACTTAATAACGTGGAGTAAAATCGAAAGCTACAGACAAATCTGATAAATCAGCTTAGCCACTGATCCTTGGTCCATTGCTAAAAAGAACTTACCAGCCATTTATACCAATGTATTATACCTAGACTTTAGTAAAGCTTTTGATACAGTCTTCCATGACCTCCTTATAAAAAAATAGGGAAATACAACCTAGATGGTGCTATTATAAGATGGATGCATAACTGATTCAATAACCACTCTCAGAAATATTTATCAATGGTTCACAGTCATGCTGGAAGGGCATAACAAGTGGAGTTCCAGAAGGATCAGTTTGGGGGCTAGTTCTGTTCAATATCTTCAGCAATTTAGATAATGGCATAAAGAGTACGCTTATAAAATTTGCAGATGGCATGAAGCTGGGAGGAGTTGGTTATAAGTGCTTTGGAGGATAGGGTTATATTCAAAATGATCTGGACAAACTAGAAAAATGGCCTTAGATAAATTGGATTAAGTCCAATAAGGACAAATGCAAAGTACTCCACTTAGGGAGGAACAGTTTCACCCATACAAAAAGAAGTGACTGTCTAGGAAAGAATACTGCAGAAGTGGATCTAGACGTCATAGTGGACCACAAGCTAAATATGAGTCAACAGTGTGACACTGTTGCAATAAAAAGAACATGATTCTGGGATGCATTAACAAGAATGCTGTGAGAAAAACATAAGTGATTCTTTTGTTCTGCTCTGTGCTGATTAGGCCTCAACTAGAGTATTGTGCCCCATTCTAGGTGACACATTTCAGGAAAGATGTGGATAAATTGGAGAAGGTCCAGAGAAAAGCAACAAAAATGACTAAAAGTCTAGAAAACATAACCTGTGAGGGAAAACTGAAAGAATTGGGCTTGTTTAGTTTGGGAAAGAGAAGACTGAGAGGAGATATGATAGCAGTTTTAAAGTACCTAAAATGGTGTCACAAGGAGGAGGAAGAAAAATTGTTCCCCTTGACCTCATAGGACAAGAAGCAATGGGCTTAAATTGAAGCAAGGGAAGTTTAGGTTGGACATTAGGAAAAAATTCCTAACTGTCAGGGTGGGCAAATATTGGAATAAATTGCCAAGGGATCTATGGAGGCATAAAGGATCTGCCAACGAAGGGTTGGCAGATCCCTGTCTAGACTGCTGCACTGTCTAGACAGCTGATCAGCACAGCGCGGCAGCCATTTTGATTTAAATGAAGCGGCGATTTATTTAAATCGCTGCTTCATTTCCCTTTGTCGTCCTGCCTCATCTA